ATCCACTGTGCCACCTAGCATTTCCAGATACATTTCATTTAAAGAGTTGGGAGATGGAGGGTAGTAACATCAAAGGCAGGATGACATGCTTTGAAGTTAAGAGAGAAGTGACTTAATAGAGCCCCAAAACACGGTAGTTCTCTAGTCTCTGTGGATGCTAGTTTTGGGCCTGTCAGGATCAAGCCATGTGAGCACTGGACCAGTATTTGACCTACACCTCATTTCAGTCTTCAGGGTGGGGATTACAGGGACAGATCAAGATCTAGCAAAACCCATTTTTCTTTTTTTGGGCAAGGCAATTGGGATTAAGTGACTTGCCCAAGGTCTGTCAAGTGTCTGAGGTCATATTTGAACTCAGGTCCTCCTGACTTCAAGGCCAGTGCTCTACCCACTGTGCCATCTAGGTCCCCCAGCAAAACTAATCTTAAGCAAACTATGTGGAGTATAGCCAAGGAAAAGCCCCAGGAAGGAGGGAATCTTGATTCCAACGGCTTCTATAGCAGGAGTTCTTAGCCTGGGGTCTGTGAGCTTGTTTTGTTTTTGATATTTTTGATAAATCCATTTCAATAGAGATTTCCTCTGTAATCCTATGTATGCATCTTATTCATTTAAAAACAACAGTCAGAAAAGGGGTCTGGGTGTTCAACAGAGGCCAAGGACACCAAGAAGCTTAAGAATCCCTGTTTCAGAATGACTGGCAAGTCTAGCTCACAGCTGGTGCTAGGCAGGGGAATGGCTGACACTTGAATACTTTCCTTTTCCTTATACTGAAGACAAAGGCATTAATCAACAGAGACTGTCCACACATGCCCTGATCTCTGAGTGAGCAGGGGCAGGTGGGGGCAAAGACAATGACTTCAGCTAAAAAAGGGTTTCATCATTTCAGATGGAATGGGGCTAGGGGCCATAAAATCATAGCTGGAAGGTTCTTCATGGACCATCTAGGCCACCTCATTTTACAGACAAAGAAACTGAGGCCCAAGGAAGTTTTGACTTACCCATGATCACAGGTAGTAATGGTCAATAAGCATTTATTAAGTGCCTACTATGTGCCTGTGCTAAGTGCTGGGCATACAAAGAAAGACAAACAATGGTCCCTGCCCTCAAGGAGCTTACAGTCTAAAGTGAGTAGTAAGCATTAGAGACAGTATTTTGTGACGGCTGAAGAAACAGTTCACCTTTTACTTCATCTAGAATTTGAACCCAGGGCCTCTGGCTTTAGAGCCAGTGCTCTTTACATGACACTATCTTCTTTAAGCATAGTATATGATCTATGTCTGCTAGAAGCTGAGAAAGGCTTCTGGTTCTGTTACCATTTTTCTAAATCCATTAAAGGTGTATTAGACTATGTCCCTGAATTAGATGTGTCAATGAGGAACACAACTGTGATGTAATGAAGGAAAGCAGACAGGAGGATGAAGGCCCAGTCCATTGCTGTGATGAGTGGAAACCCTAATCCCCACCTTACATAAAACAGAATGTTAATTAATAAGGGATGGATCTGAGGGGTGGTCAGCTCTGATGGTTAGAAAGGAGCCCCAAGAGCTTGACAGTTACTTCACAGCACCCTCTGCTTGTTAGGTAGTGCACAGGGCAGGCGAAGGTCAAGTCAAATCTACTGTGCCAGGCATTGTTCTAAGCAGTCCCCACCCCTGAGTAGCTGAGGACCTAATCGGGGATCGTAGGGTAAAGCAGAGCCCTCAACTGACAAAGCACGGATCACAGTTCTAAGGCTCTGCATCAATCACTTCCCACTCAGCTGGAGGCTGGTTCTTACACTGCTTGTGCAGTCATGCTGTTTCTCCCTCCCAAGGCCCCTGGTGATTATTCAAACAAGATTCCTGGAGGTGTTGATATGACAGCCCAGAGACCTGGGGTCATCTAGCCCCTAGCATTGACTCACTTTCGGATCTAACACCAGTTAATTTAACCATCTGTGCTTTAATTTTCCCATCTATTAAGTTGGCAAAATCACTACCTACCTCCTACCCTGGCTCCCTGGGACATCCATTCATTTGAATATCCATTGAATGAGACATTTATCGGCTACACTATGTTTGGTGCTAGGGATGAAGACAAAAGAGTAAAAAAAACTGACAGGCTCTGTCATTCCCACCATTGTGATAAAAAGAAACATAAATCAGGGTTAACACAGGATAGAATGTGCTGTGATCAAAAGAAGGATCCAAAGTACACTATCTAGAAAAACTTGAGAAGAGGTCAGTTTCAGTGGAAGAATTCAGGACAGAATTTTGTACACAGTGGTGCTTCCTAAGTTTTCCTTTGCGTTGTAAGACTTCATGCAGGAGACGGCACCTGAGTGATACTCTGAAAGAAGAGAATTTTAGACATGAGGAGTGCTATTCAGGCATGAGGAATGGCCCTTGCAAATACACAAAGAGAGGAAGATGCGCGATATGATCAGGGAACAAAACTAGCAGTCCATCATAACTTGAACACAATGTGTGAAATGGAACAATGTGCAATAAGGAGGGAAAGAAGTCAGACTGTGGAGGATCTTAAAATGTCAGAGAAAGGAGTATGCATTTTATCTTACAAGTTAAACCAAAAGTTGGACAGAAGAATGAGATGATTAGAGTGCTGCTCTGGCTGGGATGCCCTCTCTTCTTACCTGTTTTCCTTTAAAACTGAGCTCAAGCATCACCTTCAGCCTTTCTGATTCCTTCCAGTTGCTGGTGTCCTTCCTCAAAATGACCTCATTTTGTCTATGTTCCACACATACCTTATTATGTGCATGTCATTTCTGGTTAAAATGCAAGTTCTGTTAGGACAGGGCCAGTTTGACTTTTGCCATTGTATCTCTAGCAATTAGTACAGTGCTGGCATGCACTAAGTTCTTAATAGGCTTATTTTTTTTTCTTACCTAGCCTTAATCACTGATTGGGTTGTTGCCTCAGTCAAACTGAGACCTGTTAAAAGACCTTAGCTTAAAAAGGCCAAGGCCTTCCAATGCATTCAGAGTCATCCATCTCCAGTCATCCTGATCTATATCTTGCCACTGGACCCAGATGGCTCTGGAGAAGAAAGTGAGGCTGGTGACTTTGCACCGCACTCCCTCACTTAAACCCAATTCACCTGAATGTCATGGCATCACCTACCTAATGTCATGGTCCTCTTTGAGAATGAAGGACAAACAACAACAATAGGTTTGTTGATTAAGATTACTTTGGCAGATGTGTGAAAGATAGGAGAGGTGAGATATGGGAACATATTAGGAAACTTACAATAAGCCAGGGATTGAATTAGGGAGGTGGCAAGAATGGAAGAGACGAAATATAGGCGGTATCAAGGAGGAACACTGGACAGAACTTGGCATTTGAGTAGATGTGAAGGATAAAGGAGAGGGAAAAGCCAAAGATGGTGCCAAAGTTTTGAGCATGGATGATTGGAAGGATGGTAGTCTCAACAAGAGAAATAGAGTAGGTGAAAGGAAGATCAGGTTTAGAGGGGAATATAGTGAGTTCAGTTTGGGGCATGTTTGAGGTGTCAATAGAGCATTCAGGTGGTGATGTGCAGCATGCAGTGAGATATGTGGGTCTGGAGCTCAGGTTAGAGATCAGAGATGAATACATAAATAAGGGAGGCAACTAAATAGAGATGATAATTAAAGCCATGTATTGGGAGAAGAAACCCAAGGATACAGCTTTGGTAACCAGTCACACTTAGGGGGAAGGGAAAGACCATAAACCAGACAAGTAGAACTGACTGCCTCTTCAGAGATTAGGAAAGTAAGCTCCTAGAAGGTAGGGGCTCTATCAATGTTCATCTTTATAATGTTGCCTCAAATATAGTAATAATAATAGCTAATGAAATCTAATACTTTATGGTTTGCAAAGTACTTAAATATATTTTCTCATTTGATACTAGACCATAATAAATGTTTGCTAAGTTGTGCCATACTATCAATCAACCAGCAAGCACTTATTCAGCACCTACAATGTGCCCTTGCATTGTGCTGGGCGGAGGAGATACAAAGACAAAAAAATGGCAGGCCCTGCCCTCAGGTGGTTTACGTTCTTTCAGGGGTGGCAACATGAAAACATATTTAGAAATAAAAAGTAATTTTGGGGGTAGGTACCATTGGCCCAGTCCCTGCCCTCCAAGAGTCGACAATAGTTGTGGGTGGATGACAAACAGTAGGATCGTGGAATTTTGAGTTGGAAAGGCCCTTAGAGATCAAATTTAATCCAACCGTCCCTACATTACAGGTCAGGAAACTGAGGCCCTAGGTGGGAATAATGGCCCAGTCACGCGGCTATGAAATGGCAGGGATGGACTTTAGCTCAATGTTAACCAGCCCCTCTGGGAGTCACAGGACTCGTTATAGGTCGCAAAGGTCTGCGACCGAGAGAACGTTCGGAAAGAAGCCCGCGTCCATGCCCCGCCCTGCCCCGCTCGCGCTGACGTCACAGCCCCGCCCCATCGTCACGGCGGCCGTTGCCGGGCGCCTTGGGCTGCCAGGACTGAAGGCCCTCGGCTGGCCGAGGGCGTGAGGGGCTCAGTGTGCGTAGTACGATCGATCGGCCTCCGGCCTGTCGGGTCCCTAAGGTGGGACCGACCATGTCGAGGCTGGTTTCTGGAGGAGGGAAGGGCTAAGAGAGGGAAAAAGGGAAAGCGGGCCGCGTCGCCCCAGGGATGAAGGCGCGTCGGTTGCCGACGGCGGAAGGCGGGGCTCGACCCCCCAAAGCCCGGCGCTCCAAGTCCCAAGACAGGTGCCATGCCAAGGAGCGGCCTAAGGCCCCGCCCAAAACCCCAGCCCAAGCGCGCCAGCGAGGCAGGATTGGCCACCATTCCACGCTCCTCTTCTACTGGAGGAAGCAGAAGAAGGATCCTGCGTCGGGCCAGCAGGAGAATGGGGCGCCCGGGGCCTGCTCGGAGAATACCGAGGCGGGGGCGGGGCTGTGCCCGGAGGCCGGGGCGGTCTCGAAGGCGGGGCTGGGGCTGAAGCTGGGCCTGGGGCTGGCGTGGAAGTTGAGGGAGGCCGCCCGCCTGCGCGCCTACAAGGCCGCCTGTCCCAGCATTCCCAGGGTGACCAAGATGGCGGCGCCCGGCGAAGGTCGGCGTTTCTCGCCCGCCAGCTTCTTCTCCTTCCTGCCGGGTGGCGCGCGGTCACACGAACCCAAGGAGGAGGCGTCGACGGAGACGGCTAGTACCGTCGGGGAAGCCGCCGCCCGAAAGCGGCCCTGCCGGGCCTGCGTCGACTTCAAGACGTGGATGAAAGCGCAGCAGGCGCGGGAGAATTCGGAAAGCGAGACCCAGGTCGCGGTGAGGCCCTGCCGCCTGCGGGGGGGCGGGGCACTGCTGGAGGGGAAGGGAAGAGCCCTCCCCTAGGCCACGAGTCTGCAGGCTCCTCCGCCCCCACATCTGGGGGACCCCTGTTTTCCCCTCCCCAGGAGTGCTCGCCAAGCTCACATGTCAAAGCTACATTTGCCCACTTGCCCCCCCCCCCCCCCGGGGCCAAACTGCTCCTGTCACTCCCTGCCCCCATGGACACACATGTCCCCATCTCTGGACCCCTCCTCCCCAGCTCAATGTCTTTTCCCAAACGTGGATATCCCCATTCCCTCTTCTAGGGTCAGGCTTCTTTCTTCCTGCCACACCTCTTCCTAATTAAATAAACCCCACATCTGACTCATCTAGAGGGAACCTTTTCAGCCTTGTTCTTTAGAAAAGGTTTTGAGGCACCTAGTTTCCCACCCTCCCTCAGATCCCCCTACCATCAGCCCAGAAAGCCCAAATTTTCTTCTAGGTTCCCATTGGCCTGGTTCCCCATAGAATCCCAACCTAAGCAGGACACGGGAGCTGATAGAATGAGTAGAATTATCTTTTTTGTTGTTGTTATTTTTAACCCAGCCACCCCTTTTTGTCTGAAGTAGACAAAAAGAAAATAGAATTTATAGCTTGAAGTATCCTTAGACATTGAAGCAGATAGGTGGTTGGCTCAGTGCATAGAGCACTGAACCTGGAGTCAGGAAGACTTGGATTCAAATCCAGACTCACTTAGTTGCTGTGTGGCTCCGAGCAAGTCACTTAACCTCTGTCTGCCTTATTTTCCTCAACTGTACCTCGAAGGATTGTTGTGAGAATTAAATAAGATAGTATTTGTAAAGCTGTTAGCACAATGTCTGGCACAGTATATTTGCCATGTATATGCTTATTCCCTTCTCCTTCCCCTTCCACTTATACACAAAGCAGTGTGGTGTAATGAAAATCGTTGGGCCTTGGAGTCAGGAGACCAACTTTATTTCAAACATGTGCTGACTGGATAATTCGCATACTCTCAGAGCCTCAGTATCCTGTTCTGTAAAATGAGAATAATACTATTACCCCTATATTATTCAAATTATTATTACAGGAGGAAAATTGAGTTCTGAAGAGGTTAAATGACTTGCCCCAGGGGTTAGTGTGGTTTGGTGGGAAGAATGCTGCTATACTTAGAGCCTAAAGAAGCCCAAGTTCAAATCATGCCTCTCCACTCCAAGATAGGCTGGGGCCTTGGAGACCCCAAGGCCTTGCTGCCTCCCTTCCCATTATCCCTCTCAAAACAGCAAAACACTGCTAGTGGTGCTTTGAGACAAATCCCCTTAGAGTATATTTTTGGCAGTGTACTCTCTTGTTCTTTTGCTGTGCCTAAGAGTGAGTTTGCCTCAAATAAAGTAGAATGCTCTTGGCTGAGATTTTCAAGTGATTTAAAACTTTTCTGCTGGTTGTACAAAGTGGGTTGTTGTTAAAATATTGGGCCTAGGGAATTAGCCTGAAATCTCATTTCTAAGCCTTCATCTCCCTTCCTTCTTTCCCAGTTAGAAAACAAGTTGCCAGCTGATTGCCCTCTGGATCGGGAGGAGCTGGGGCGAAACAGTTGGGCTTTCTTACACACAATGGCTGCGTATTATCCAGACTGCCCTACCCTAGACCAGCAGGAAGAAATGGCCCAGTTTATACATCTATTTTCCAAGTTTTTCCCATGTGATGAGTGTGCTGAAGATATAAGGAGAAGGCAAGTTGTGTATGAATGTGCCACCAGGCTGATTTACCATGTTTTGTAGGCTGGGGGGGAGAAGGGTTTGGGAAAAGGAAGGGTTAGATACTTATGAAATACTTCAACTAGTTAGTGACGTCACGCAGAGACAACATTCTAAACCTTAACTGTAGGGGCCATGTGAATCTTATACAAGGTCTTAGTGCTACATCTGAAGGGTCCCAACTTGGACCCTAGTATAAGACAGCTCTAGCCTAAGAAAGAGTAGAAGTTTACGGGGCCCAAAATGATCACCAGTGGTAGAATTTAGGGCCCAGAATGATCACCAGTGGTAGAATTTAGGTTATCTATCTTCCTCAGGCTCTTCTTTCAAGCTTGTGTACTACCTAGGAACTGGAGGTGGGTTAAGGGGAGGTAGAGGTGATGGACTTTTGGGATCACATTTATCAAGGTTTCACTTCTTCAACCCTGGGGTCTGGTTGCCCCCTGACTCTTTAATTAAAAAAAAAAACAGTGCAGAGGAAAAACTTCCCAATGGTTAGACCTGTCCAAAAGTGAAATGGGTTGCTCTGGAAAAGTAGTGAGTTCCTCCCTCATTCAAGACCTTCAGACAGGAGGAGTTCTTGGTCCAGGTCCAAGTTGAAATAGATGACTGTTATGGTCCTTTCTAATTCTAAGATTTTGTGTTTCTGTAACCCTGTCTTCATCTTCATAACTGGTGACTATCCCAGAAAATTTCCCAGAGAAGATTTCCCTTTTCATGTCCACTTTGAAAAACAATGATATCAGGGGACCATTTAAGAATTTAGGAGATTAAGTATTAACCAGTTTCATGGTTTTAGCTGAGCCTGAAGCTATTTCCTTTAGTCTACCTATTTCCTCACTTGGATATGATTCAAATACCTGGCAGTAGAAGCCAGGAGGTGACTTTTGCTCAGTTCTTGTGAGCCCAAAGTGTTAGAGGCCTCCCTACCAGAAATGATCAGACTTTTTAAAAGCTTAGCTATTAGTAGGGATCTGCCACTGCTACTTACGCTTTTTGTAAAAGAGAATGTAGTTGGCATTGATGTGCTGGGGCAGAAGAGAGTCCACCGATGTTCAGAAAACAGAGCTTTGTTTGCTGAGTGTATGTTAACTTGACCCACCCCTTCTACTCTCTGCCTAAAGCCCCAGGGAAGAGTTTAAGAGAGGTACCTTCCTGGGGTTGGGAGCTTGTAAAGTTCTATAATATGGGCTAATGACCTGCCTGAGGCTTCATAGTTCTCTTTCCAGGGGTTTTATAAGATGCATTCTGGATACGCTTATAACATGAAGGTATTAGGAGAAAATACAGGTTTCCTAAGAGCACTCTGTGTTTTTAAAGGCCTATGGGGATATTGAATAGTGTTTTCCAATAAATCTGCCAGATTCTTTTTGCTTTGATCTATGTCTGAGGCACCTTTCCACACATTGCTTTTGTTAAAGTGCCTACAGGGGAATTGAACCTAACTGTGCAGGGTTCCTCTGTGATGTCCAAGGACTTCTTCTGCATGGGTGGCAGAAGAATCCATGAATAGCAGGGTCGATCATTGATCCAGGGAGAATTTGTCCCTTCAGAGTCCCAGAGGGCTCGGACCCAGCGTTTTTGGGTTGACCCCGCCCTCTTAAGTGAAATTTGCTATTCCATACCTAGAATAGCAAAGCTTCCGCAATATGGTAAGGGCAAAAAGTGAACTGTTGTTATCAGCCAGAGCATTTCAGTCTGTCATCTCTGTCTGTCCCCATGTGGAGAAAGGGCAAATATTGTAGCTCTAGGTACTGTTTGGGCTCCATTTTCCATTTGAAAAGCTGCATTATAGATTAGAGGATCCCAAGAAAAATTGATCTCTCCAGTGTTGTATGGGGACTGAGAATTAGGGCTTTCTTAGAGAATCAGATGGGCTGGATCATGCAGGTCCCAGTGTCTCCTGGAGGGGAGGGGTTCATATCCAAGCTGTGTCAGGGATAGCATCGGTGGGATCCAGGCTTCTGTCATACCCACTCTTTCTTGATCCTCCCTATGCTGCCCCATTCTCCTGCAGGTTGAGCAGAAACCAGCCAGATACCAGCAGTCGGAACAGGTTCACCCAGTGGCTCTGCCGCCTACACAACGAGGTGAACTTGAAGCTAGGGAAGCCTGCATTTGACTGTGCTCGTGTGGATGAGCGATGGCGGGATGGCTGGAAGGACGGCTCTTGTGATTAGAGGGGCAGGCCCCCAAGGGGAGGAAGGCATAAACCAGACTGTGGCTTCCTCCCTCAGGACTTGCTCAATGTGAGATTATTAAAGGGCAACGCATGGCGTGTTGCTGTCAGTGCCTTGGCTGACGATGTCTGTGAGCTTCGTGGGCTGACAGGTTTCTGAGGAACCTCATTCCCCAACTTACTTCCTCCTTTTTGATTCAGGAATGAACCAGTCCTTTGTTTCCCATCTCTACTGAGTCTGGTCTTTTGCTGCCAATGGTCAGTGGCAGCCCATACCCAGGGGCCTGGCTGGGATTTGTGATAACTTTCTACTAAGCAGAGCCTCTTTCCTCAAAGCTCAGCCCTCTCCTGTCCACCTCTGATAGGGGACACTACAGGTATCTATGACCTTTTTGTCCTTGTCTTCCTTCCATGTCTGTAGCGGGATCCTGAAGGGCCTGGGGCTCTGAGTCAGGATGAGTATGGCTGGCCAGAATCCTCATCAAAGCCCTTTGCTGCCAGCCTCTGTAAGTGAATTCCCTGGCTGAGCTCACAGACAGCCTTCCTCAGTCTTTGTGTATCCACAACACAGGATGATCTTAGGAGGGGCATGGAGCCTGGCCTGAGATACAACTCTCTTGTAGTTTGCTTTTTTTGGAGAGAAACCTCAGGTGAAAATGTCTCCATTCTGGTTTTTTTTTCCTCCTTAAACCATTTCAAGTTTTTCATGTCACGATTCTCCTAATGTGGTTCTCATTGCCTGCAGAGAGTCTGGCTGTCATGGAGCTGAATATGATTTATTTTCTGTAACATGATTAAGGTCTTTGTGGTTTGTATGGGCTGGTGGGTGCCAGGCTCAATTCAGATGTGCCCCAGGGCAATCTCTCTGTGGTAGAGTCAAGAATAAACTCTAAAGTTGCTCTGATTGCGGCTTTTGAAGCTACTGATATGTTATATGACAGCCTGGATTGAGAGCTTTTTGCAGGGGGAACACACATCAAGTTCCTTCTTGGTCTGCAGACATCTATATATGGGGGGCATATAGATTTTAGATCAGTCTGGTAGTAGGGTCCTCGTTAATAGGCGTTACCCTGAACAATTGTTCCCCAGGAATTGTCTGTTCCCTTAAGACTGCTGCTGTTATTCATCACAGGAACTTTAGTATTCCATAATTGTTTGGCTTCCCAGTCCTGGCAAAGCCAGTCTGGTAAGGTCCTGAGTTTGCCAGAGTGGGGGGGAGTGGGGGGGGGACGACGATGACTTTGGTGAGTGTAGGACTGCCTCAGGCAGCAAGGGATCATTGATCCCAGCCCCAGCTGAATGCCTGAGATCTGAGAAATTAGCAGGGTATTATCTCATGCCCTTCAATCTGCTGTCATCTCTGTTGACTAAAGAATAAATCAAATGCTTTATTCTCTTTAGTTCAGCCTGAATGATGTTGGAATTTTTCGTAAATCTTGGAGGAAGAGGGCCCTGCCAGGAAACAGGGACCAGTGACCAATGGCTGTGAAAGAGTTGTGTGTGTGTGTGTGTGTGTGTGTGTGTGAGAGAGAGAGAGAGAGAGATGATCAATTGATCCATTGATCAGTGTTTGGGAATTGGGCTGCTTGTGCTACCCTCCCCCCACCTGAAGTGGTGGTGGTTGATTTTTTTTTTTTTCTTAAACAAAACTTGGCTAGAAATCACAAGAATATCAAAAAATCCAAACGTCTGAGACAGAGAATCTTGACCCTGGGGTAGCTACAGATTGGTCACAGATGGATTTAGCTGGAGCAGCTTATGGCTTCTGCTTCCATCCCCAAAGACCCTCCCAGCTAGCTTGAGGATGTCCAAGGTGGGGAACTTGTCACCTTCATCCCTCCTCTAAGTACCTGCTTCCATGCCTTGCATCTACATCCTCCCCTGTCAGCTTCCTAATCATAGAATCACAGACAGTCCAAGTTAGAAGAGACCTTAGAAAATATCTAATCATAATGCCACATCTAAACCTCTCTGAGGTTTACAGAACTCTTTCCTTGTGGTGGCCACGCTATGAGATGGAGTTATGTTTGTTAGGGCCAGGAGTAGAGTCTGAGCTGTGGTTTCAGTGGTCTTGGAGGCTCAGTACAAGTCAGAGGTAGGTCTACTAGCACTGCTTTTTGTGAGTTAGGTAGTGAGAATTATCCCCATTTTACAGGTGAAGGAGCTAAGCTTTAAGAGAAGTTGTGATTTGCCCATGGGCAAAGAAGTATTTTTTGGAGCTGAGATTCAAAGACTTCTTAACTATAAATCCAACACTCCATTTTACACCCCAACATTGTCCTCTAATTTTCAGAGGAAATGGGCTCAAAGAGGGGCAGGCATTTGCCCAAGCTTACCCAGCAAGTTAAAGCTTGGCTGCTTCACCTCCGGACCTAAGAGAAGCAGAAGCTGTGTGGTGGCAGTTTGCATTGATAAGTAGATCCATTTCCCTTTCCTTAGTCTTCTGTAAGGCTCACAAAAAGACTATTGTATCCTACTTTCAAAGCCCAGGATTTTCCACTATATTTCTTTTGGGTGTCTGGGTGCCTTGAGTTCTCAGATGATTTTCAGAAAGGAGATAATAGAGACTTTGAACCCAATAGTAACTCAGACCTATCCCAGTTCAGGTTTTCTCTTAACTCACCTTTTCATAGGCCCTTTTCCCTGAGCTCCCACCACCACAGCAGAGTCTTCTCACCACAGAGTACACTAGATTTGAAGGTAGAAGACTTGAGTTTGAATCTCTGCCAATTAGTACTTGTTTCTGACCTTGAGCTAGTTACTTTATTAATTTCTTCCTCGTGCTTAAAATTAGGGAATTAGATTAGGTGATCTTTAAGTTCCCTTCCATCTTTCATACCTAATGATATGATAAAAAACATTTTTATACATAAGGTAATAAAGGAAAATTTACACTTACTGAGAGTGGTCATCAGGAGGTGACAGTGGAATTGTCCTTTAAGGAAGAGACAGTGTTGTATGCCAGAGAGAACAGTAGCAAGAGTCTAGAGGTCTTAGTTCTCGTCCAGGCTTTCCTACTGCCAGCAATTCACCTTATCTCTCTTTTGTTTAAATAAGTGTTTATTGATATTTTCTGTTTCTTACATCACTGTAGGATCCTGCATATTTCTCCCCCTCCATCTTCCAGAGAGCCATTCCATTTGACAAATAGTACTTTTTGGAGAGGGGGAAAAATTAGTATGGTTGATACATTGAAAAAGTCTGAGAATGTGCAATGTGTAACACCTGTGGACCTTCCACTTCCACAAAGGAGTGGGTTGGGTGTGTTTTCTAATATCTCGTCATTTAAGACCTGCTTGATCTTTATAATTTTGTTACATTTAATTTTGATGTTTCAGTGTGTCATTATTCTTTCCATTTACACTGTTTAGTTACTGTGTATATTATTTTCTCAATTCTGTTTCACTCTGCATCAGTTCATATAGATATTTTCTATGCTTTTCTGCCTTCACACACCATTTCGTACAGCATAGTAATATATTCTTTTACATTCAGGTGCCACTATTTGCTTACCCATTCTCCGGTTGATGGGTACCTACTTTGTTTCCAGGTTTTTGTGGGTGTGTGTGTGTGTGTGTTTTAGTTCTCAACATTCACTTCCATAAGGTTTTGAGTTTTAAATTTTCTTCCCCTCCCACTTCTCCCTCCCCCTCCCCCAGACAGCATACAATCCATGTTAAGCATATTTTCCCATTAGTCATGATGTAAAGAACAATTAGAACTAATGGGAGGAGCCACGAGAAGGAAGCAATAAAACAAAACAACAAAGGAAAAGGAGAGCAAATGGTATGCTTCCATCTGCATTCAAATTCCATATTTCTTTCTCTGCAGTTCTTATCTGTCACAAAAATTGCTGCTATAGATATTTTGGAGTATAAGGAGACTTTTTTCTTATAAGTGGCTTCCTTGTTGTATAAGCGCAGTAATGGAGTCTATAGTTCAAAGGATATGGACATTTTAGTCACTCACTTTCTCTTTATAGGTTTCAGTTTCCTTCTTTATAAAATGAAGTTGGAGTAAGTGACCTAAGGACTTTTTCAACTTTGACATTCTATGGTTATCTAGGTCGATCTCCATCCCTATTCTGAGGGCTGAAAAAGGAACTTGGCCTTCATCTATATACTCCTGATGGAACAGTGTGGGAAGACTGGCCCTATGTGACCCATATGTGCATCTGATTTTGCATCATGCAACTAATTGGGGCTAGGTTTGTGCCCTACAGAAAACATTGGGAGATCTTTTTCCTATAGGTGGAAGAAGAGAGGAAAATTACCTCCACCCAGTTGAATGCCAGGTCCCTGTGGAGTCCCGGACATAAGCAGTGTGGTATACAGAAAAACATATGACCTAGGAGTCAGGAAGGACCTGAGTGTTGATCCCAGCCCTGATATCTGGCCATGGATAATAAGTATTTCTACCTCTGAGCTTGCATTTTTATTGGAAAGTTGGATTTATAATCTTATCCTACCTCTCTAGTGGGGCTGTTATAAGGATCAAATGAGATAATGAATAGAAAAATCACTTTGTAAACTGGAGCTCTGTGTTCAAAGTAGGCTTCAGCCTCTGACTGATCTGGGAAAATCTAAGGTAGGAGCCTCATATTTTTTTGGTATGAAGGGGAACTTCCACTCAGGCTAGGGCTACCTTGAAGGGAACATTTCAACTGCCAGTTGGGGTTGGAAAACATTCTTTTGAACTCATCTTTGTTCTTCAGCCTTCCCTTTACTAAATTTCCCTGTTCCTTTTAAGGGCACCACCATCCTCAGTCCTCCAGGCTTTCCCAATGAAATCCCTTGACCCCTCACTCTCTCTCACACTTCATATCCAAGCTGTTGCCAATAACTCTGAATTTCACCTTTGCAAAATCTCTCAAATAATGCCCCCTTCTATCCTAACACTGCTACCACCTCGGTACAGGCCCTCATCATTTCATATCTGTACCACTGCAATAATTTGCTGGTGGATCTGCCTGCCTCAAGGCTTTCCTCATTCCAATCTAAATTCAGCTACCAAAGTGATTTTCCTAAAGCATAGGTCTGACTATGTCAATCCTCTATTCAGTAAACTCCAGTGACTCCCTATCACCTCCAAGATCAAATATAAAAGCCTTTTTGACATTCAGATCTCTTCATAACCTAGGTCACCTTTCCTCTCACCTTTCTAGTCCTGTTAACACTTTGTACCCTTACATGTGTCTTATCTGGTCACACCGGCCATCTTGCTGTGCCTTGCATAAGACACTCCATGTTCTGACTGGAATTTTTACTGGCCATCTCTCATACCTGGATTGTTCTCCCTCTTCATATTTGCCTCCTGACTTCTAGGTCTCACCTAAAAATCTACCTTCCAATTTATCTGCATATAGCTTGTTCATATTTGTTTGCATGTTGTCTCCCCCCATTAGACTGTGAGTCCCTTGAGGGCAGGGACTGTCTTTTTTGCCTTTCTTTGTATCTCCAGCATTTAGTACAATGCCTGGCACATAGTGTAGGTGCTTAATAAATGTTTGTTGACTGACTCTTGGCAACGGCCCTGTCAAATTCAAATTCGTAGAGGTAATAGACTTTCAGTTTTGTGTTAAGGACCTAGTAAAGCATAATATTTAATAACAGGCAACATTTATATAGTGCTTTAGGGTTTGCAGAGCAACTTTACATATCTCATTTGATGAAAGGCCTGTTTTGGATAGCAGGGAATGGGGACTTTGGTCACCTTGATTCAGTATCCATCCCTTTCCCTACAGTGCCTAGATCAGCCCACCAGACAGTTGTCCTGCTGTCCACATCCTTAACCTGTATTTGACTCTGCCTCTCAGTCTGAGGTCTAGTTTCTGGAGTACGTGAAGTACCAGATTTTTAATCAGTTTAACAAAGGTTAAGTGCTTATCACATGAAAGGCTTGGGGATACAAAGCAAAAAGGAAATGTTCCCTGCCCTCTAGGAGCTTATATTGATGGGGAGTGGGGAGAAGAGGGAGGAGACAACTTGATCACAGTTAAGTAAATATAAGATAATTTGAGGGAGAGAACACTATCACTGTAGAACATTGAGTAGCCCCTGAGCCATCTTGGAGAAAGCTAAGGGCTCTTTGAGGTGATGGCATTGGGGGGCTGCACATCCAGGCATGAGATGTGCAGCAGCATTTGGAAATGTTTAGGAAATAGTGGGCAGGTCAGTTTGGCTGAAATGTCCACAGGAGAAGGCTAATACATGAAATGTCTGGAAAAGTTCATGGGAATTAAGATTGTAGTTCATATTTTATCCTAGAGAGACTAGGGAGCCACTGAAGAATTCTGAACAAACAAGTAACATGGTCTGACTCGTCTTGGAAATACTCATTTGGCAGCTGTGTGGAGACTAGATTGGAAAAGGGAGAGAGACGAAGTAGGGAGATACATTATGAGGGTATTGCA